GTGAACGATTTATGCTCTAATGATGCTTCCAAACACCCACACATTCATAAAAATACTTTTTTACACAGTCATTAATAAAATCGGTTCTTTCAGGGAAAGCCCAGAGTGCTGAAAGTACTATTTTTAGCACTAGTGCTAAAAGGGTCAACGTAGACAAGCGGGGCAAACTGGACAAAAGGGACAAACAGGGTAAAAAGGGCAAAAGGGACAAACATGACAAAAGGACAGAAAGGGAAAATGGACAAAGAAGACCAATTCCGTAAGGCTATCTAAAAAAGTGAATGACACACGTCGTAAAACTACTTTTATTTTGCTCCTAGTATTGCGCCACCCGGCCTATTTGCCTAGAGTCGCAACCTTTCCTATTGGCAAAATAAAAGGTTGCTTTTACCACTTGTATCATAAATAACTATTTCGAAATAAAGAACTCGCAAAACAAGTATTTATGTCATCAATCATTCCATTTAAATTAAATAATTTAAATTATCTCCACCTTAGTTAAAAAACTAGATATTTACAAGATCATTTTCTTTCAGGTTTTTGATACAATCACATATCTCACCTTTCATTGGCTTCTTTCTTCTCATACGTTCTTGAAAAATGCAGGAATACTCAATAATCTGTTTAATCATTGAGTTACTTTGGAAAACGTGTACCCAGTGTAATACTTTGCCAAATTAAGGTATTCTGGTAAAAACCACGATCGTTTAAGTTTGCAATCTTTCTAGCAAAATATTTAATAAAAAATATCAGTTTCAATTTCGCTCTTGTTATATTGTAACGGAATTTAACGATTTCAGTGTAATTCCTCACTTACTAGTTGATGAAAGGTCAACCTAAAGAAACTTCAGTTGTACAGCCACCAATACCATCGAGTCCACCATGGAAGACTTACACAGAACGCGCGGAAGACTATGACTCAGGAGACACAGTTTCTGTTTTCCATTTCAATAGTAATACAACATACAAACGGGAGCTTTCTGGTGGTATGTACATTTAACGATTATTGAAAATTTGTTATTTGAAGTATAGAAAAATCATTTCATTTCATCAGCGTAAACTCAGCATACAATAGCCTACTCGGTGTTTTAAAATTATTTTCACGTATAAAAACAAACGGAGCAAATATTACTAAAACTCATTTTTATCTATGCTTATTGGAAACAACTCAGAAGACCCTGTTTCATCACAATGAACTTCACTGATATGTCAAAACAGCAAGGATAGCTAAAGGAACGTAAATGTTGGTTTTCGCAACGGTAGTTCCTAAGTCAAAACCTACCGATAAAAGTTTCATTCGCATACAATAAGACGTAAAACATGATTTTTATGTAGTTCAGTGATACGCTTGGCTCAACGTGCGTTATTTCAATTTATCCTGTCTCTCCACTAACTTTTCATTTTAAACATGTGTCTATTTTAGAGAAGAAATTAATTTGGTATTTTTTTTAGAATCTACGTATTAAATTGTTATTAAATTAATTACTGATGTTTATAAAAGATTTTACGTCTTTTGGTTTCACTGTGCGCGGGATACTGACCTTTGAATAGAGGACAGATGCGGAAGATAGTTATACATCCTGTGCTGGCGAACTGGCCCAGTGCGGTCTCCATGAAGAACAGAGGGATTCCGCAGAGGAAGAGCATGAGAAGATACGGCACCAAGAAAGCACCTGCAAAGAAATAAACAGGAGTACTTCGACCAAAACTATACCACTGCACAGGACGAGTCATTTCAGGCGTAACACTATCAATATAACCGTACTTATGATAAATAAATAAAGATATTGTCAGGTATTAATATTGATACCTGACAATATCTTTATTTATTTATCTTAATAAAAAGGTATCTACTTCACCAACAATCCAATTAATAACCGTACTTTTTTAATACTCGTACAATAATTCTTTTACTGAGGTAAAGATACTTGTAGAAAGTGTTCTGCGGAATTTTCGAATTTTGTACCAGTTTGATATGCTATTGAAACTTTCTACACTTTCCTGGGCCTTGCACCGTGTTGCTGTTTAAATGGTCATTTGCAAATCGAAAAAAAAACGCCTTGCAGATTCTGATCAATGGATTTCCATGAACGTTATCGGCACTGATGCTGTTAAATAGTTCTTATATAACCTCGAAAACATGGTTCACACACTCGAGTTCGCTATTCATATCCCCTTACTGAACCCTGGATAAAATGTGGTGTAATGTTCATGAAATAACGGTTTCTTACATCACACGCATCATAGATGATAATTTGCAAAAACGAGTTAACAGAAACAGAAAGGGGAATGCTAATTATAGGTGATTGTCACAACCAACAAAAAATTACAAATTAATAATAAGTTGACATCGACCAGGAAAATATTTCTGTCTCTTCTGTAAATTGACGTTTTAGAAACAGCTCGGATTTGCATAGAACGTTCCTGAAGAGAGCATGTCGCATGGGGTGAACGCACTGCTATATACGCTGTGACAGTAGGTCGCCAACTACAAAGAACTTTGTTACTGGATATAAGTATGCATGAAGCCCTTCTCTAACATTATCCCTGCAATATTTGCAAAGAAATTTGCATGTTGGAGAAAAAATACCTCTGAAGTGGAAGTAATTAAATATAAACCAAAATAGAAGTAGTTGCAATTGGTTATTTTTGAAGACATCGTCGTATTCGTGGATAACATTGAAAGGAAATATAATAAACTAAGGAGATGATGCCATATCGGTGAAGTTGTATTTTACACCAAGATTGTTAAGTTGTATTTTTTTAACTCTATTCTCCGCATATTTACTATGAGCTTTCGGTTCTTATTCAAAATATTTTTTAAGTATCATAATACGTTTTATGCTAGCTAGATTCTTGCAAACATTTCCCGCTTTGTAAATGACACTGGACAGATATTGAACTTCTTTACAATTCGTTTTGCACGCTCTGTCAACAGACAATTGTTAAAGAAACTCCATTTGTAGTTGGTTCCAAGGAAAAATCCGAATTGAAGTGTAACGGTCAGGTCGTGGCTTCAAGTGCAAAGGCCAGGTTCTTAACTGTTGGTTACATCATGTAGACACCGGAAAATTGTGCGAGTAAAAATTGCAATATTTTTGATCGTTTATTAACAGAGACTCAGACCCGTATAACTAAATAACACAGATTATCCAAGACTTTAATAGCTAATTTAAGTATAAATAGAATTCAAGATTCTGCAAGACTAACCGTTCGTACTACAGAGAGTGTACTTCGAAGAGTTTCCCAAACATGTAATAGGCCCGAAAAATATCTCATTTTGAAAACTATAAACTAAAAATAACTTCTTGACCAGTCTATGAAATCGAGTTTTAAAGCCTAGTTGTTCGTCGCACCATTTCCTAGTTAGATTTTTTCGCGTTATTATCAGATATACGATTTATATTCAATTTTTAAAATTTATTTATTGCTATATGTTTTTCAGGGACAAATGTACTTGACGTGATTTTTAATTTTAAAGGTTTTACATAATTCTGTGAGCAAGACAATTCACTTTTGTTATCCGTTTTGCAGCGCAAATTACATATTTCCCTTTCTTAAGGAGTATCCATTTAAAGTGAATTTTGGGGAGGTGGATTATCCATCTAATTACCAAGAGATATTTAATACTTACAAAACCTCCACTAATATAACATCTCCATTAAATTGAAAAGTGCCCATCAGTCTCTACCTCAAGAGGAAATTTTCTAGGGAATCAAAGAGGTATCCTTTGTTAATATACATTTCTAGTCTGTACTAAGAGAACATTCCTATATCGGTTGTAGCTGACGAGTTTGACAACCAACAGAGAATAAATACTACTACAAACAACGGAAATTTGCAATTTAAAAAAGAAACCAGAAAATGACAAAGAATTAATATTATTTCAAACAAAAGAATAGTTAGCCTATTTCTTAACAGGCAAAATTATTAAAGAATCAATTCAAGATTTCTGATTACACAATGGTTCTTAGTTTAGAAACGACTGACCCTAAAACAAAAATCGGTCGGATTTCTCATTTTAATTGACAAATTAATACCTTGCATACAAACATAGCAAAAACACTAAACAATCATATCAGCGTACAAAGCAGCACAACAAAATATACAAAAGACCAACATTGCTGTGCTATTACAACTGAACATCCTCACAAAGCTAAACAGTGATCTAAATGCTAATCATACTAAATGGGGGTGTAATTTTACTATGAATTGCAACATAGTTGCAAATTTAAATCTTCAAGAATTACGTCCACCAGAACCAAGATATTATCTCTACGATATGTATAAAATCACCGATATAGAATTTGATAGAGCAATATCAAACTTCCAAAGAATATTTTACACTTCACCAAGTTTTGGAATAAACTCATATTATATACTCGTCACATTTTAGGAACATCAACCCAACACACTCAAATAAGAACATAATTGGAAACAATTTATGAATATATTGAGAGCAAAAACCCTTGATTTCGAAACCTAGCATCTCCAATAGAAATAAAAATATCTATTATTTCATTAAACATAAAAATAAACAATAACCCAGCTACAAAGAGCAAAAACTCAAATACCCTTAAAGATGTAGAAAGCAAATCTGCCCGAACTAATAATATAAAATATCAATTCTCAAAACAAAACGTGAATAGAACCGCACAACTAAGAAAACATAAATCACTTAAACCCAAAAGTTAAAAAATCAATTAAAGAAATCATCAAAAATATAATGAATGGAGAAAATGAACTCCTCCAACAATTCACTATCGAAATTAAAAATAATTCTAATTTCTATAATTAATATAATTAATAATTAATAATAGAATAAGAAAAGTATTATATCGTTATCTAACTCACTAACGGGAGTAGTACTTCACGTAATAAGATCGCGAAACAGGTGATTCACGCACTAGTCGAGATTGTGGTCTGAGTATTCCAAGGAATGTAAGGAGGCGAGTGCGAGAATCACCTCGCGCCCGTGTGGCGTATACTATTTTTAACACGCCACCGCGAGCCAACTAGTGCAACTAGCGCTATTATGCATTTTGTAAGAGAACTAGTTGCATTACGATCCTCCTTATAGCATCACGCCTTTCGAACATTGTAGTGTCGTACATCGTTCATAACTACGAAATGATGCGTTTAAGAGCCTTAAAACCCAACTTCTCCTTGGGGTCGCGAGTTTTGTATTCTCTGACCTAATCTACAAAGAGAGACATTTTTAGACTTTTATTATAAGCTTTGCGTTTATGAAAAATATACATCGGTACAAACAAAGGGTACTGGAGACAGAATAGTTGACTTCTGAAGGACTTTGCTCTGTTGTCGGTTGAGGTCACGAGACCAGTTTCTGTTGTATTTCTCAGGCATGGGAGAGTGGCGAAAAGCCAAGTAAACCCTCATACGTATTGCAGGGAATTAACAAACATCACACGGTGATGACGAATTTGTTCACGCTGGCAGATGACGTAGAAGAACAAAATTTAAAAAATAAATGCAATTATTAAACAGAATACTCTTCGGCAAAATAACCTCAGTAACGTTAAACATTTAAAGAAAATAAGATAGAATTTCGACCATTGGACTACCACTAGTAGCAATAAAAGCAGGCAACTTCAAATAAAACAAATAACTTAGTACTTCCACGATCACCAAACACAAAACTCATCTTTGAAATGCGCTTCTTTCGTATCATTTACAACAGTTCATCGAGTTATGAATTCAAATGTCTAACTTCAGTTCGACGTGAGAAACGGCGTGAATGACGGGTTCAATTCACCTGAAGAACTTATATGTAAATAAAACCGTAACTTTGACAATATTGAGAATTAATAAAATTCCATTCACGGGTAGGTAACTATCAATAAAGCAATAATAGTCACTGAGTAGTAGCACAAGTCCACCCTTGCGAAACTAAGCTCTGCAAATAATTAATTTTTCATTCCAGTCAAGATAGTCCTGAGACCAATGCAGGGTTAAGAGTTGAAGTAGTTGTCAAGTGACAGAAAGAGTTGCCTCGTACCTCCTCCGTTCCTGTAGCAAAGGTACGGAAACCGCCAGACGTTGCCGATGCCGATGGCGTAGCCCAAGCAAGAGAGGATGAACTCCGCTTTGCCCGACCAGTTTCCTCGCTCAGGCTCGTCTCCCTTTCCCTTGGGCCCCTTGGCGCCGTTGACGGCGCTGCCTCCATTGCAGCTCGCTGCTTCGGGATCCTGTGGGCAGGCAAAATGATAGTTACTTGCGAAATGAATATCGTGAGACATCTTCTTAGGCCACGAGGTTGGGGAATTGTCAAACGAGACTGTCAGACCGTGGTTGACAGTCCAGAACCGTAATAAAAACGCATTAATATCGTACTATGTTTTACCCGCGTTTAATCCGCGGTTGATAACTATTCGAGAATTGTAATAAAAACGCATGAATACTGTACTATGTTTTATTCGCGTTGCAAACAAGTCAATTTAACTTAACAAGCTATACCCCAGCGATTTCATCGCACAGTGCTGCTTCAACAGGTAAATATTTTCTGGCATTATTTTTAACTTCCTTGAACGAAAATGAGACCTGCGCCATTTTAAGCAAACTTTTTGCTCCGTACGTAAAAAAAAAATTTAAACCATTTTCGAGAATGTTTTTTATAATTTGAGAACATCAGAATTCGAGAACAACAAGGTTTTTCAAAGAAATGTAAAAGTTTTTAAAGATCTGATTTTTTTAAAACGGATTTAATTTAAGACAAACATCTCTATCTCCAATATTGTACTTTTACTATTCACTTTTTTATAATTTTCTAAAATACCCAGAATTCGTCGAAAATGGAACCACCATTTTTTTACCGACCTTTGAAACATAGGAGGAGAAAATTTAAAGAAAACAAATTAGGGCCGTTTATGAGAAATTAATTGTTTAACATTTGCCAAACTTTTATACAGAATTCCATAAAACCTTCTCATATATTTAAAAAATTGGACATTATCCTATTTCAAGATCTGTCTTTGAAGAACAAATTTCATTACAGAACAAATTCTCTATCTTCAATATTGTATTTCTTAGGGATGATCACCAAAAATTTTTGAATTTTTGCAATTTTCGAAATATAAGGGATTTCAACAAAAAGTTAGCCCCAAGCAATTTTTATAAATGTTTGTTACTCTATTTGACGTCAAATATGGTGCTATTTTTGGGAAAATTTTGAATTTTTTTGTGTACGCATGAAAATCAAAATATCCTTTCCCAACGCCAAGTCTCTCGGCTTTGAGATGAAAGGTGAGTTCAATTGGATCCCACCTTGCACAACTCCTACGGTAGTTGATTTTGTTCTGAATGACAGAATCAGCTGTGTCAACACTTGTTCGACATTTTTCATCAATTTGTTCAACTGTATGTCGTCGGTCTTCTTGGCTATGTGAATCAATACGAGCTTCTAAAGCCAAGGCTGAAACTACTGTCGGAACCCAGAGCGGTGCTCGTTAGTGACGCATTTGCAGCCACTTTTCAACTCTTGGACCTGCGTGTAAAATTTCACGATTGATGCAACTACTGACTTATTGTTTGTTCATTAAAAGTAATATTTCTAACAGTTGAACACTTTACAAAAGTAATAAAACAATTCTTTACAGACAGCTTGTCTTCATAAGTACTATCTTTGAAAGAATATACTAAAGTAAGTAAGACTTTAGGGGTTATATTTATGTACATAATAATTAAACAGCAGAATAACACTCTTCGCAAGGTTGTGAATTAAGACAAAACCTTCAATTATGTACGATAAGCATTCACTTCACAAAAACCATCTGTTTCAATATTGAATTATACACTATTTTAGCAGAGAAGATGAGATTTATTTTATTTTTCATTAAATTACGATTATATGTTACTCTAGAGAACAACACAAAAGCCAGATAAGTGACCTAGTTTTGGAAGCCTTTCCGTAAAAGTTGCTTTCAATATAGGAATCAATTTCGAAGGCTGGAATCAAGGATTCATCAAATCACACACCTCTCTCATGAAAATTTTGTCCCCTTTTCCCTGGACGCTCTTTTCTAATAAACTTTTTTTACTTACTATGACATATTTCACTAGTGAATAAATAATACATACTACAAGGGGAATGAAACAATTACTAAAATGATACGATTGATAAATACAATTGATTTCGTTTAACCATTTACAGGGTTGCCAAATAGTTTTGAGAGCTTCTTTCGAAAATTAGTGGATCAATTCTGCAAAGTGTCAGCTTAAAAAGGGGAAATCGGGAATTGATCATATCTACAAAAAGAAAATGTTTTATTGAGGAGGGCCTTCCGATATTTTCGAGGCGTCCAGAGGATATACAGGATATTCGCAGACGATGAATATGAAAATTTCGACCAAAGAATATTTTCCAATCAATTTGGCCTGATTCCGGATCTTGTGAATTTGAAACGAATCTTACAATTTTTGGATGCATTTTACAGGAAGGCCACGTGAGGGTCTAAAAATTTGAAATGTTACTGAAGTGGAGTGGAATAGAACCTCACATCTCGTTTCTCAAAGGAAGTGCTGTTGGCACAAAGTCTATTGTGTTTGCAATGTTTATTTAATGAGATAATGCAAGCAGAGCCCGGAAGAATCACATTTCAAATTGTATAGAAGAAACAAGATACTAAAATCTTTCAAAGCCCGGACGACCACTGAGTCACTGAATGAGCTACCATTAAAAAACAACAACTTTTTATCAATATTACAATAAATGTGAAGGCCAAAACGGAGCTGCGGTATTGTTACAAGTGCCACGTCATACTTTTGAGCGCAGCCAGGAAGAAGGCTAATGCCTTTATGTCATTCTGTTTCCTGAGAAGATGATCACGATGTTGGTTGCCTTTGCCTTCCGTAGTGATGAATGAATGATTATTTATGTACTAGTGGACTCGGAAATGCTTCACCGTCGCAATGTACACTTTACACTCCACAAGTCGCGTGATTGTTGTTGACGTGTTGACGTTTTACGTTCCGCTCCGCAAACATTTTAATAGGTGAAAGACTCTCGCGAGTATGGGTTTGTTCTATGTCCTTGTTTAGATATGGTGGTCAAGTTTCGTCACGTTTTAACAATACCTCTCATTAAAACGTTCTTCCTCAAGTTTGGGCATGCATTTACTACGAAACTGGCTTGGGGAAATTTGATTTACTTGCCACGAGATAACGTCCAAATAATACTTCCGGTCGATATTTCAAAATCGCAGGGGCAGAATATGCAGCGAAGATGCGCTTAATACTTGAGGGTGCGGCGGGGTGCGTAGAATTTCCGTTCAGGGGCACTTGACTCGGCATAAACACACAAAATCATCATCAACGCGCGTCTATTTGCGACATTCATACGCACTATTCCCGTGTACTACACCTATATTCTTCACGCAAGTTCAAGCAAAAAATGACTGAAGCTGCTTCTTTTGTGCTTACATAATACACAAAGGAAATACTTATACTGGTAATTTTATATTATCTTCTCAGTTTTAGCACGGCAAATCATTCAGGCATTCTAACCTGGTCAAATCTTCTCACACAGTCAATTAACACGATCTCCCCACTCCGTCACTTCAAAAAGAGGCGCACAGTTTCCACTGACAATTTAGTTCATCAGCAGAACATTCGAAATAAGATATAATGAAACAATGTACTTCTTCAGCTACGTGGTCCGTAAAATATTATTTTTGTGTTTAACATTAGCTCATACCGTGTGCGATACTTAATGAGATTGCTGGAATCACTAAAAACAAACGTAATCGACTGCAGAAATGTGAAGAACTGTCCATTAGATTTTTCGATTCATGAAATTCAAATTCTATTGAGAACCATTTTGCATAGAATCTTACATTTGAGAAAAGTATAAATAAAACAACAAAAAAACGAATAAACAATAGTAAATTCACTCATTTTTGGACATGAAGGACACAAAATGTATTCGAATCAAATACCAAAATTTTCCCTTTATTTTTACTTTTTATAATTTCGAACATTTTTACGTTTAAAAATCAAATTTCGTTATTTCTGTAGTGCATTTCATGTTGATATCATTACTGTGTACGTATTTGCCTCAATAGACTGTCTGCCTGCTCTATAGGAATGGCATCAGTTATATCACATTTTTTACTACAAAATTTATCAGTTTGGTATTTGATTTTTTTAAAAACGAATTGTATTTGGTTTCATCTAGTAAATATCCCAGTCTCACCACAATCAGAAGACAAGATTGAGAAAATAAGAAGTAGTTTTGTACAGTTATTTTCTAGTGAAATTAATTATTTCAAGTACGTTACACCACCATATATGTTGAAATGGAAACATTCGAATATTTACCGACGTAAGAGAAGATAATGTCGTTTTGAGTTTCTGTTTTCATTGCAATCTCTTCTTCTATGCATGGAAAAATGCACTCTACATTTTGGACGTTTGTTTGTACTTGGTTTTAGGGACGCGTAACACAATGTCGCACTGATTAAATGGTCTGATATTGAGTCTTCATTTCAATAATAGTTTTTTTAACAAGTTATGAAATATTGAAGAATATTTTCACTGCAAATTTGTGAAAGCAAACATTGAATACAAATGTCCGCAAACCTTTGTTTCACAATGTCTTCAAACACCCATTTGTGACATGGGCCCTCGGTACCTTTTCTCAGGGGGGACCAGCAGCTAATGCTGAATGCCGAGCTGTTAAATCCATCATTGGCATGGGGAAATTTGACATTTCACGGTGAAGGTCCGGAGATCATAGAAACACAGTATTAAATTGCTATATTGTACAGAGATACTAATCCAGGAACATATATTGGCAACATGAATTGTTCTTTTTAGACATGTAGGACTCGAATGTTTTTATGACATAATTCAATCATATGGGGGAACAAACGCCACTCTAAACGGCAGTCGTCCGGTACGCATGAGATATACGTAAATGCGACGTATGCACAGATATTTCAAGAAAATGCATTTCTTACATACATGATTTTTTCTTACAAGAAGGTCGTACGACTAAAAGTATTGCATGATGCATGCCGATATAACAAATTAACTTCAATCGTCCTTTCGTTGTCTGCTCCATGTCGGCCAAATAACCTTAGTGTTTCGTTTGTGTGTATTGTTATTTGCATCCTAAACAAACAATATTGACCTATCGGAATCCTACGTACGGACCATAAACGAAGAATAAAATGCACCGAGGCTGTCGCCGGCCTGTAGCACCTACCGCATCAGCAGTGCTCGCCTCCATTCCGCTCGTCGTCGCGGGTCGCTTCCAGAGTGCCACTGCCGCGTCTGGGGGCCCCCGCGCGAAGGCAGGTCGCCGGCGGCGTCACTCGCGAGCAGGAGGGGGAGGGGGAGGGGGCGGCAGGTCGGCTGGCCGGGCGAGAGCGACGGGATCCGCCGAGGAATGGCTCGGACTGGCGGGCATCGGAATGGAGCGCCCGCGGAAGGGCGTGCAGTGCGAGCGACAGGTACACTGGAGGTCGTGGGAGGAGGTTGAAGGTAGCGGGAGCACCTTATCTTGTTGGAAGATCGGATTTATTCGCTCTCGTCAAATAATGCCTCTTTACACGTCGATATGAGATAATTAAACTTGCGGTGTTGCGGAATGGCACAGCATTACTCGTGTAACTTAGCTCAGACATCTTCTGAGTCTGGGTTACCTGTTCCGTTTTGCTCCACATTCTTCTCAGTTGACATTTCCCGGGGCCTAAAAGACCTACTTGGGGCTATCACGGTACCTCCCACTCCTCTGGGGAAATTCCCAGTACGAAGGACGTTCACGCTCTCCGAACATCACGTAGGACTATCTCGGCCCTGTGCTTTACGTATTTTCCTATGGTATCTCATGACTATCTCCTGACCTTTCCTATACTATTTTTATGGGTGCAGGGATCCAGTTCTTCAATTACACACGTATATTGAACACCCCTTAGCGCGTCAAACCTATAGATCACGGAAGGATTAAGGTGTAGGATTAATACAAGAGGCACTGAGAATGTTTCCAAGCCAAGGCACTGAGAATGTTTCCAAGTAAAATATTCATGCTTAATGCGACTTTTAAACACACAGTCTTGCTCTCTAAGAATCTGGGCTCACTTGCACTAAGCCTCCTGTCCACGAGGTTGAATAACTTGAGCCTACTACTTGTAAACGTGTGACGGTTGTGTAACATATTTTCATAAAATTAATTTTTAACAAAATATTATCTTGTAGTGATAATTTGTTTAAAAGTAAATAAGACGTGAACGTAACTTAGACAAGTAAGTCGTACTCATTATGTTATGTGTATCTGAATGAAAGAAAAGTATGGGTCATGAAATAACCTACATATACATATACTATTATCTTTATTTTTCAATTTGTTCACATAAATTTTTTTCATAATTTTAAACCAATGCACAAACCGGAAAGACGTAAAGAAAGTGGGAAAAAGAGCAATATGACTTGGGGAAGTGCAAAACACGTTTCTTCACCACACATGTAGGTAAAAGCAACTGTGACATATGAATAAATATTCGAATGTCACAAACCGGAAATTCTATTCCAACATTCAGACTTCCCAGTGGCCTGGTACTTATTGACAGTTTATCTATCTTACCTTTACCTCCAAAGGTACTACTTCACAATATTTTCTTCTCAATTAAATCATGTAACAATTAAATAACCAAAGTAATAATACGTAACATCTATGTATAATATTATAATAACTGATTAAATACTCTGCCAAGCCATGGTCAAACCGACTAGGCTTGTACTGTACCGGTACATGGTCAAACCGACTGGCAAACTGTACCGGTGTGAAGACATGTGCAATATTTTCGTTTGAAATATGAGCGACGAACCAAGCTCAGAGAACAGGCTACACCGCTTGCGTAAGATCGAGATTATCTCACGGAAATCAGTATTCAATTGGTGAGATATGAGAGAGAGAAACAAACAGAGAGACAGAGAAAGACTGAGTCATAGAGAGTAAGAGAGAGACAGGCAGAGGTAGAGAGAGAGAGACAGAGATACAGAGAGACAAAGAATGAGAGAGAGAGAGAGAGAGAGAGAGAGAGAGAGAGAGAGAGAGAGAAACCAAATAGAGAGAAAGATACAGAGAGAGTCAGACAGAGGGAGAGACATAGAGCGAGACAGACAGATACAGATAGAGACTGAGATAAAGACAGAAATAGATATAGAGATAGAGAAATATAATGAGAGAAAGATATATAGACACAGAGAGACAAAGGGAGCGAGAGACAGATAGGGGGTAATTATAACAGAGAGATAGATATAAGAGAGACAGAGAGATAGAGACAGAGATAGGGGCAAAGAGAGCGAGAGTCAAAATGGGGGTAATAATCTATAATGTTCAATGTTGAAATTATCAGCTTGAGCGCAGAAAAGTCTAATATAGAATGAAAATAGTGGTGTAACAGAATGGCACATATTTTCTCGAACTAGTTAGTTTTCTAATCTCTGCAGTCTGAACTAGCTTTTTTCCACATTGCCATATTACTTCCCAGCTTCTACCTATCGGTGCGTAATCACATTTTCTCAAATGTTCGGTCCCCTAATTGTAGACTGAAATATGACTTTTGATACATTATAGAAGAGTAAATCTGGTCTTACATGCAAATATTTATTAACATTTTTAGAGGCGATTTTGAGAAAGTAAAAGTCGTTCAATGACTTGAGTCCACCGCGTGAGTCAGGGCTGTAGCAGGTGAGTCCAAGTACGTGGAGACGAAAGCTGTTAGTTCGAATCCTGCGTAAAGCGAGAATTTGTTAATCTGTTTTGAAAAAAAAAATTATAAGATTGCCTTTCTTGATGTTATTCTAGAATTCGTTTGAAGGTCATTTCTTTAAGCAGACACTCAACCATATTGTTTGATTTTAAATAAAAGTTTATTATATGACTTAATGACTGCTTAAAAAAGGATCTTCAAACGAATTGTTAATCTATAATTGCAGCAGGGGAGGTTCCGAGTCCATCCTGTATTATTAGGGTCAGTCAAATGAAAAAGAGACAGATGGAAAAAAGTAAGCAAGCTGTTTTCTATTTCAAAAGTAATTGCCAAAACTATTTATAATTTATCCCACTGTGCGACAATACGGTCAATGGCTTAATAGAAACATCTACGAAGTGGCTACGGAACAATGATTGCAGGCGTGCACCTCTTCGTCCGAAGCAAATCGACGACCATGAATATCTTCAGGGGTCCAGAAATTTCAAAATCGATTGCGGGTACATCTCGATTGTATGGAAAATGAGTGAGCTTCCCAGTGGAACTTCTGCAGCGTGATCGAAACAACCTTGAAAACATATTGGTGGACATTATCGTGCAACAGAATGATGTCTGTCAACATTCTTTGGCATTACGACTCGATGACGCACTTCTTGAAAAGTTTCCATTGTGTTCATCACACAAAACAGACATTATGGCATGAATTTGAACTCCTGATACTCTTTGTGTTGTCAAAAGAGCACTTCACCTCGCTGTTTCTCTTTCCCGGTCACCGTAGTGATGTCGGATACGCACTGACATCTAATCGCGCATCTAATAGATGTCTTATATACATCGCATCTAATAGACAAACGGCAGAATAGTGAACCTTCGGGCCGAAGCTCATTGTACAGTATGTCTAGTTTTCATTTGACTCGCCCTCATACATTTACTCTCTAAGCGTTTTATTATCTTTGCCCGAGAGATAACTGTGTGTGAAATGAGTGAATAGTCGAGAAACTGAATGGATCCATAAACCTAGAAGAATGTTATAAGCACCGCGATGGGACGAAGAGATACCATACAGAGCACGTATGTGTAGGTAGAGGGCCGAGATGGGCTTAAGCGATGTTCGGGGAGCGCAAAAGTTGCGGTTTCTGGGAATGTCCCCTGAGGAGCAGTAGGTATCCAAGAGGGGCTGGTAGGATTTTTAAGCGTAAATAGATGACTACAGGGAAGAGGGTGGGGTAAAACCGAAACGATAGTCCACAATGAAGAGAATAGGTAACTAATTTTGAATGCATAAGTACTTGTACACGCCATTTTATACCACCACTAGGTTTGTTCTTTGTTTCGTTCGAATTGCTTTAATATTGAAATATAAACAGGATCAAACATCATGGGGCTAATCTCAGTTATCCGCTTATGATTCGCAGTTGATAAAAAGTTCCAAAGCCAATCTTGATATTTGACCATTCGACCAATTACAATCTATATACAGAGAAAATGAAAATGTTCCTCGATTTACATCTCTGCGGTGAGTGTTCTTTTACAATGAATCCTCTTTTAAATACAATAAGTGGGGATGTTTTGGCAGATACGAAAGTCAAATTTAAAATTTCTTGTTGTATCTGTTCTTTCTTGGCAATCATTTGAATATTAGATTTGGTCAATATGTACCAAACAATCATGCGTACTGCATTGCGTGGCCTTCCTGCTGGCCATTCACCGCTTGTCGCGCCCGTGAGACCCGCGTCTTCCCTTTTTACCAGGCCCGGCCACCTCCCTATCAACAACCGCTAGGCAGCATCTCGGTCTGCAGACACTGAGATGGGGTGAGCTCTGCCGTAAAATGTCTTCGCCCTCCCCGTGGGACGCAGAGTCAAAGTTTCACAAAGGACACTGCCGTTCCCGAGAAAGACAGAGCCACGACACCCTCCATCACAGGGACTGACGCGAGCGCCCGGATCCAAGAGCCCACGCGTGTTAATCAAATTAAGTAAGCACATGTCCGTGGCAAATTAAGCAAGCACCTTCGCAGAAGCACAGGAAGAAAGAATTATTCAACAGACACGTCACGCACGTCACAGTAACGGGGCCAGATAAAGTAGGGGTAACTCACCCTATTACAGTACTTTTTCGGCCGAACTTTCGAAAAACTAAATTTAGCTAGTAACATCTAGCCCTTTTTATCACGTGTTGAGAGCATGTAGAAGGAGAGAGGGGAAGATTGTGCGAGGGAAGGTCTGCATTTCAAGAATCTAGGAGAACTGGCAGAAAGATTATGCTACGCGAGTGCAGCAGAAAGTTAACAAAGCCAAAAACATGTCCAGAAGCAGTTAAAAGGAGTACATTATAATGATTTTTCTACTCGTGAAATTCAAACCAATAGTGTTTAACTATACATATAATGTGCCCCAATTAGCGCGGTGTATCTCAAAAAATGTATCGCTTTTTCTATCCGATTTTTCTTACCTCTCGTATCTATTGTATGTGTGAAATTGTATCCATTGTGTGAAATTGTATCCATTTCGCAACCAACTGTCAAATATAAAAATAATTACATTTAAAGTTCACGT